TTGGCCCAAACACCTGATGAACCCACTTAATAAAAAATTGTCTGGTTACCCAAGCTTTGCTGTTAGCCCTCCACACCACCTGCAATTTGCCTTTCAGTACATGGTTTTTCTTAAATACCCTCGGGTTCTCCGAGTTGTAGACTAGCAAAGGCTTCAATTTAAAATCCCCATCCGCATTCCCACCCAACAACAGGGTTAACCTGTCCTTCATTGGCTTGTGTCCTGGCAATGATTTTTCTTCCTTTGTTATGTAGGTCCTCTTTGGCATTTTCTTCCAAAACAGGCCTGTCTCATCACATTTAAACACTTGTTGGGGAACGAATTCCTCAGCCTCTACATAGGCCTTAAATTCCACAACAAATTTCTCAGTCCCATCTTTGTTAGCACCGGAAGCTTCACCATGTCTCACAACACTGTGTATGCCACTTCTCCTTTTAAACTTTTCAAACCACCCCCTACTTGAAAACCTCATTCTCAACAATCGTTTCATGGGTGTTTGTCACAAGATCAGCATGCACGTCTTGCTTTTTCACAAATTATTGCCTCTGATATGCTATCACCGGATAACTGACTTTCATTTATCCATATCAATAACAATTTTTCTACTTCTTCTGGTGTATGGCTTCTTTGTTTTATAATCGCTTTAGGCCCTATAGCAACATTGGCTTTTTTTTTTATATGGTACAAATTGTAGATTTGGCCATACCAAACTGTGTTCCTAGATCAGAGGCACTTTTTAAAATAATTTCTTTGTTCAACTCTTGGGACCTATGGTGAGTTTTTGCAGACTAAATGGAGCTCTATTTGAAGGCTGAATTGAACTCTATTTGAAGACTGAATGGAGCTGTTTGCTGGCAGAATGGAGCTCTATTTGAAGACTGAATTGAACTCTATTTGAAGACTGAATTGAACTCTATTTGAAGACTGAATGGAGCTGTTTGCTGGCAGAATGGAGCTCTATTTGAAGACTGAGTTGAACTCTATTTGAAGACTAAATGGAGCTGTTTGCTGACAGGATAGAACTCTGCTGACAGAATGGAGCGGTTTGCTGGCAGAATGGAGCTCTGCTGACGGAATGAAGCTCGGCTGACAGAATAGAGTTTTTGCTAGCAGAATGGAGCTCAGCTGTTTGTTTAGAGAATAGAGCTGTTTCCTAACAGAACGGGATGGCAAAGTGTCATACTAATGAGGTACCAACGAGATTACCATAGAGGTGAATGCAGTGTATTGTATTCAGGTACCGAGAATTGTTTGCGAACAGGACCGTTCGAGTTCTGAGGTTCCACTGTAGCAATAACAGTTAACTCAGCCCTAAAAGGGAGTTATATGACTTGCAACAGTCGTATGCAAAATGTGCTTTTCACAACTGGTGCTTGTGAAATTTAAAAAAAAGATGTTAAATATCTACAGGAACTTTTTACCCATTTGATAAGCTCCTACAATACCTGTTTTGATGTGAACTTTCATCTTATTTTCATCTTATTACTAACAACATGGTAAAATTTGTGTTTTTGGCAAACATTTTCCTTTTCTAACTAAATGGCTAAAAAAAAAAGTAGGATTTTATATATTGGCCAATCCTAAATATGCGTTGGTCAGTGCATCGAGAATATTTTACTGGAACTGGTGTGCTCGTTTTAAAAAAAAAACAAAAACAGAATTCTGAATGGTTTGCAAACCTCCAGTTGATCAATCATCTCACACTTTCTCCTGTTTTTTTCCACAGGAAGATATGGATCAATGAGGGTCCCTCTGCGTTCATGAAGGGGGCTGTCTGCCGGGCCCTGGTTATAGCCCCGCTTTTTGGCATAGCCCAAGTTGTTTATTTTATTGGTATCGGAGAATATATCCTTGGATACAGTAAATAACTTCTGACGATGCATGGACACAGACTGAAAATGTCAGAGCGAGGAGAGCAGAACTCCCATGTTCGATACTGATACACCATATGTACTTGATAACCCCAGAATAGCTCATTGTGTAAAAGATACAATGGAGTTCAGCAGATTAAAAAACTGGAAACTAGCAAATTCTCAAGAGTTTTGTATCATATCTGAGAGCCTTTTATTTAACCCTACCATTGTATCCTGATAATGGCCTTTTAGGTCATGATGCAACAACGACCCAGTATAGGTTTGTATGCCACACATGCCTGGTACAATCTGACAATTCTCAATTTAGATTGTTTTATAAGTTGCAATGATGACACACTGAGTTGGGTTTGTTTTGTTCCATATATGTGGCTCTAATTAGAAATACAATGCAGCATTTGCACTTTATTGCAGTCATCTACAAGCTAGTGCTTATGGACCTCTTACAGTTCAGGAGTTACATATTTCCCAATTCTGTTTAAATGGTGGTATTGAGAAGACCAAAAATGTTGTTGGAAAGAACAATGGTTTTGATATCACTATTATTCTAGGCAGGGCCAAAATGCACAGACCTTCAAAGTGCTAAGGGCCCCAAAACACTTACTGCCTGTACCATAGCAACAAAGCTAGGTTGTTTTTTATGTTGTGAAGGAGAGGAAGCTGTGCCAACCAATTTTGTGTAAGATATTACTATATCATATCTCCCTATTTAAGAGGGGCATTCCCTATTTGGCCCCAAATCCCTGTTTTCTATCTGGTTTCTATTTTCTGGAATCTCAATAGTGTTGGTATGTCTACATGTATAACAGAACTCCATAGCAATAATACTCCCATTAATGTGTCTGTAAACTACAGTAAATGTGTTTAGAAATCAGTCTGTGTAAATAAGATGCATTGTTTGTGTTTTAAATTACATTTTAATTACATAAGTTATTATTGTCCCTGACCACAACCCAGCTCACACCTCTACAATAAGTTGCCCCTCTTTTCTAAAATGTTGGGAGGCATGCTATTCAAATGCTCAAGCTTTAGTTAAGTTGTGTGTGAAACAGTATGAAACAACATAGTCTGTTAAATTAAAGTCCAAAATAGCCGAACTGGAGAAGTTTTCCAAGTCGGCTATATTACCAGTTTAACTACTTTATCTTTAAATTTAAAATGTATATTGAATTTCCAACAATTCTCACATGTGCCATAGCTGCTCATACTATATTTTCTAATTTAAACATAAATCGCATATCACCAGTCCCACCATTGTTACCCTGCCAAACCAGACATATCAGCATCACATAACTGGCTATATGTTCATATATGATATCAGTCTTTAGTGCATAAGCCCACAATACAGAGATCAATATGATCTTGATACTTTGTAAGACTTTGAGCGTGAGAGAAGGACGTTTTCCACTCCCTGTTTGATTTAGAGGTCACTACCTGAATCCTAGAAGGAAAGACAGGATAAGTATAACTTACCATCTTTAATGGAGAGTGACATCATAGGCTCTACCTACAAAGATTCAAGTCAGCCTGAGATCAAAGCATTGTTTTCCACTATTTTGTATTTCAATATTGATTTTTCTTATCCACCTCCATATTCCCAGTTTGTTGCGATCCTCTCCTTATTCCAACTGACAAGGGAACTGGAATATTCCCAAATCAGCACCTTATCTTCACTAGTTTCATCTAAAACCTGCCATTATCATGTCAAACCAATAAACCATTGTGTTTACACTACTAGTCCAAGTATATGTTAACATGTTTTAGGGACTCTAGCACCAGATTCTTTGGTGCTGTACTGTGCCTCGTGCAAAGCGGTTTCTAACTTCCATTCCAGAACTCTTTTTGAATGGGAATTCTCATTTGGAATACAATGTGGTTACAGGCAGTATTTTATTACGCATTGGATCTCTTCTGCTCTAACAATGATATTGTTTACAGTCTACTGCAGCAACTTTATATCGTCCATTATAAGTATTATCAGACCATTCTTCTATATACAGTATTTGCTTAAGAAAGGTTATTTTATACATCTTCTTGGATTAGAGTTTTATGTATAAACTGGCAATAAATTCATTTAAAATTCAACTTTGTTTCTGCCTGTTTCTAATTTAAAACAGTGTTTTTCACAAATGAGAAGCACAAAAGAATATTAAAATAAGGATATAGTGGGTTTGGTCTAAAAGCATAATGTAAGCACCAAAGTCTTTTAGCTTAATAAAGCAGTTTTAGTGTATATACATGTCCGACACTTCCTATAGGCGACTTAGGCAGTCGCCTAGGGTGCCTCTTAGGGTCAGTCCAGCCGGGTACAGGAAACAGAAAATCCTGTACCGCGGACCGGACCTCGGCCATGCTACACAGGGTTGGAGAGGCGGGTGGAGGAGAGACATCTATGATGGGGGAGTGAGGAGAGACCACTAAGAAAGAGAATGGGTGGAGGAAGAGACCACTAATGAAAAGGGGGAGGAGAGGAGAGACCACTAGAGGGGGCAGATGAGAGATCACTAATGGGAAGAAAGGGGGGTTGGGGGAGAGAGTACACTAAGGAAGGTGGGGGAGAGGAGGGACCACTAAGGGACAGGTAGGAGAGAGCATTAGAAGACAGGAGGGAAGAGCACTACAAGAAAGGGGGCCGGTTGATCACTGTGAGGCAGGGGAGAGAGCAGTAAGGTATCCCCATAGATTACATTCCATAAGCACGCACACACACACACTCCACTCCCTGTAAGCGAACTCATAGATGGAACATGTAGGTGGACTTATGGGCATACTCACAGTCAGGCCCTGGGGGCCCAAACAAAAAAATAAAAAAATTTTAGCTGCTTCACGTTCCCCCAGAACATTGACTTTTGTGACCACAGTTACAAAACAGCCTCCAGAGAGCCTGTTCTACACCAGACTAGCGGAGCCAGAGCCCATCATCCTCATCTGGTTGTAACTAGGCAATCTAGTATATTATTTGTGGCACTAATCTCTAATTTACCTCACCATAAAGGGACACTATAGTCCTCAGAACCACTGCAGCTTAATGTAGTGGTTCTGGTGTCTATAGTCTGTTTGCAGGCTCTTTTTTTTTTGAGAGGGCATAAGAGAAAAGAGAAGAAGAAAAGAAAGAAGTAGTAAGAGGGAGGGGGGGAGGGCGCATGGGAGGGGTAAGGGGGCCCGAGCTATGGAGATGTTCTCTCCCAGAGACCCCGCCCATAAAGGAGGGTGGGGGGGGGTGGGGGAGAAGAAATGGTCTGTTTCCATGACCAGTGTCCATCCATGGCATGGCAACCATCAGTCTGCCTACCTGTATAGCCTCCACCACCTTACACATTTAATAAAAATTAAAAACTGTTTAGACCATTCAACCACCCTCTGGAAATGACTCACTCGGTAGTAAAGATTGAAATCCTGTATGGCTAGACCCTCCTCCTCCTCCCCCCTCGCCAGATCTTTAGCATCGTGAGGACCTCAAGCTTAATGCGTGGCTTAGTTTTGCACCATATGAACCTCAAAATCAAAGTGTGTAAGGATGTTAAGAACACGTTGGGAATGGCAATCGTTAGTGTCTGGGATATGTACAGATGTTTATTTTAATGAGCCCCACCCTGCCAAGAAAAGTGCAGCCATGACCAATCCTCCAGGTCCCTCTGCTCTCAGCTAATAATTGGTAGAGACTTTGCTTGCTAATGTTGAGTGAGTTCTTTATTTACCTACACCCCCAGGTAGTTCAGGGAGTTGGGAAAGGTCAGACCTGCTGCACTGTCCACTTGGGCACAGATATGTTAAGGATCATGGACTTCTTAACCCTAAACAGCATTATCTCTTTAACACTAACAACCATAAGGTAACCCACTGCCAATATCAATTCTGATATTAGAAGTGGGTTTTACCATTTAACAGGTCTGTAACTGCCATCTACTGGCAATTTTCAGAACAACACTTAGTGTAATTATGAATAAAGCCTGGTTCCAAGCAGATTATACTGAAATTGGTGCACAGCAGCTGGCAAAGCCAGTCACAATCGGCTAGTGACAGGTTGGGAGATCCTGGAGGATCTCCCTAAAGCAGCTTGGGAAAAACCACATCAGAGCCACACTTTTATGAAGTTATAGGGCTCTGAGCAGAACTAAGATGCACCTCTAGTGGTTGTCTGAGTAATTGCCACTAGATGGGTTATTATGCAGCAATGTAATCACTGATCTCTCTGAAAAGGCAACATTTACATTGAAATTTCATGGACATGCTATAGACACCACAATCACCTGTAATGGTTCTAGTGTACCTTTTAACCCTGCTCACTCCAAATTTGCAGGACGTTCAAATGCTGTACTACAGGAACAAACGTCCTTAAGATGTTTTATCAGTTTCTGCAGCCCTATTCATTTTTAATCAGATCTTACAGCAAGCATATCAAACTCATGGCCTGCAAGATGAGAGTGTGCCATGCTTACTAAGGCAGAGTAGGCACGTGCCTACTCTGCTTAAAAAAAATAAAAATAAAAAATTACCCAGCCAAGAGGTGGGGTGAGATGAGCTCAGTCTTCCTGCTCCTCACTACTCCCTCTCTGTAGTGATGCTGGGTGCTGGAATATGACATAATTCCAGCACCACTAAACTGCGTGAGTGAGCAGGTAGGAGACCTCCCGAGAGAAGAGGCTCCCAAAGGTAGGGAACAATAAATAAAATGAAAGTGTGTGCAAGAATGTGTGTGTGTTGCAATGTCTGCAGCTGGACAGTGGAGGTGCACCAAAGCACGCAACATCACATTCCGATGTGACGTCAACATGCTCCACCTTCACAGGGTTTCAAGGAGTAGCGAGAGGATCCGCGTTGGCACACGGTTTGGCCTGTGTCATTGGGGGTATACCAGAGGCTGGACTCCAGAGTCATACTGGCAGCGTCAGAGTGGAGTCAGTTTGTTAACCAATTGGTGATGGTGGGGTTTTTTTTATTTTATTTTATTTTTATTTTTTAAAAGGGCCGGGGTTTAGTAGAGTGGGGCCACTGGGATTTAGTAGAGAGGAATGCTGGTTTATTTTTGTGCTGTACTTTTCAAAACCAACCTATGTTTCTATACAAATTTAAGTTTGCTTTTTTTTGCAGCCCACAAACTTAAACCTTGTTCTTTTGGCCCATGCTAGCCTTTGAGTTTGACATGCTTGTCTTACAGCACAGTGTGCTTTATTATTGCCGGTTACTCACAATCATTACGTTTTTAACAGGCAATTAAAAGAACTGGAGACAAATTTCAAACCTAAATAGGCTGTGCAATAAAGGATGATCAAACATTAGATCTCTCCCAACAGAAAATGTGTAGGGTAACTAGATCACATGTAGGGGGAATGTGGCTGAACAAACAGTGAATTTACTCCTAAATAGCAGAGAACTGATTATGCACCAATACCACTTAATTGTTTTAGAAACATCTTGAAGATGTAATGGTTCAGAGGCAGAATGCTCTTCCTAAGGAGATCAGTTTGCTTTTTCTACAGGTTACACCACCAGGGTTGTAAAAGATAATAGGGGAATTATTCCGCACTGGACAATTTTTTTTTTAATGTTTTTTTTTTGTTTTTGTTTTTTAAACCAACAGTACCGTTTCCTCAGCTGCAAATTAGTTTTCTGCTAGTTCTAGAAGAGCTTTGGGTGTTTTGCAGGATGGCATATCTTATGGCCCAGTGTTTAAAACTAGAGCAATAATCAAGCAGGGTAGACCCCCCATGGTGTCATGGATTTATTTTCCGCACGAGGTCCATCCTTGACCTCTATATAGCACAACTAAATAAAACACTATCTTAGCATCCTTATATGGAATTGCCATATTTAAGGACATTAAATTAAGCTATATTTAAAACCACAAACAGAATTTAGTGTGTGTACATACATACACACATACATATATACACACACACGTTAGGAAACAAAATAAACCACCCAGCCTTCCTACCTGCACCCTTTAGTGAGGTCAGGTTAATTTCTTAGCTACTGGCACAAGAGGTGTTGTGCTAGAGGACCACTGTAAGCTCACAGCAACCTTGCTACCCATTTCTGCATAAATTAAAAGGACACTATAGTCAACATATAAAAGCAAGAAAGACAGGGCCCCCGGCCTTCTTTCTTGCTTTTATATGAACTTGCCATAAAAAATAAAAATAAATATATATAAATGAAAAAATTAAAATATCAATCTGAGTAAGTTTTAATAGAAACTTACCTCCGTTCCAGCGCTGAGCTCCCCGCTAGCCCACGCCCCCTTTTCCGTCAAAATGACAAAGTCGCAGGGCCCAATAGGACGCTTCTCCTTGCGTCATCACAATGTAGTGCGCGGTTTCACGCTGCACCAATTGCATTCTTCATAGAGCAGCATTGAATGCCGCCCTATGAAGAAACTCTGCGCTCAACTGCGCATGTGCGTTCACGAGCTGAGCTGTCTGACTGTGGAGGTTTTGTGTGAGAATAGGTCTCTGCACACCAGGGTGTATGTGCCAGAGGGGCACGGCAAATTATGCAGGGAGGGTTTTCTTATTGAAAAATAGTTACCTGAAAACTGCAAGTTAAAGTGAAAACTAAATAAAAGTCACCAAAGGTGGAAGAATGTCAGAATAAGTCCATACAATTTTATTGCAATAAATAAAAGACAGCTTAATATTGGACTCTTGAATAAGGGCAGACACTGATTTACTAAAAAGCCACATATACAGAAACAATGAAACCAATGTGTGTTCCAGCCAGCAGTAGCATGGGTGGCATCTATACACTAGTTGACCGGGAGAGTGCAACAGCCTGTTTGTGTACATTAGAACAATGTACTGAGAGCATTACGGTTTACAACTGCAGGATACAGAGCTTAACAAGGGAGAAATAAACTGGTACTTATTACAATGTATAAACAAGATCTGTGATAGCCAACAAATAAACCTCCACAAGTAGAAATATCACTAAATATGTAGTTCCAAAATATCTAGAGAAGTACATGTTGGAGGCTCCACTAGAGAGAACACCTATGTTTTGCTCTGGTAGAACAGACAAGCCACAATATACAATTTAGATATCTGGTTCACATGCACTCTCCCTAAACACATAGTTAAGTTTCAAATAGCAGAACAAGAGAACAGGAAACAAAAGAAGGGAATCTCTCCCACCCACTCCGATGTATGGCAGAAGAACATTCTTCTAAACTCCTTTACCAGGATCAGTCCAAGAACTTCCTGTTTGGGTTGGCCCCGAACAAAGCTACTCTGATCTCTGGCATCATCTGTTAGAGAAACAGGGTTAGAGAGTTAAAAAAACAAAACAAAAAAAAAAAAAAACTGTTAGATTCACCAAATGAGCTGCATTGAGCAATCAAATTGAAGTATTTAAATGGTTTCTTTAAAGCACATTAACATAATTTTATAAAAATGTACAGTTACCTGCTGAGCTATCAGGTCCAGTCTGCTCTCCAGTGTATTTGACACTTTAATCTTTCCATCTGCATTGTACATCTCAATTCCTCCAGCTCTACAACAGAGCAAACAAAGGTGGAACAGTCTGTTATAACAGGGGTTTTGTTTTCACCTTTACTTACAATTCAGCCATCTTAGCATTAGAAGCAAATTACAGTAATTATGAGCACGACAGTGCTTTAGCATTCAATTATATTTTCCAAATGTAGGAATGAATGCAGGCCAGTGGCTTAGCTAACAGGAATGGTGACATTTTAGGCCACTCAGTCTTCATGCTAGATTCAGATGGGGAAGCATAAACATGCTCTAATTTTTTTTTTTTTTTTAAATGAAAAAAAAATTAAAATTGGGGGGCACAGTTCCTTCTTCTGGCTCTACAGAACTTACAATTAAGTTGCGGAACCAGTTAAATGTCCAACAGATACTCACATTTCATGGGATAAGAAAGTCTCCTCATCAATCCCCACTTCCAAGCTCTTCTTAGTAGCACCTCTGTAGATCGGAATGCTCTTTTGTACAGCAGTCTAAAGATAAAACTAGTGTTAAGAGTTTTACTTGCATCTCACACACAAAGTTTCACAATCCTACACGATTATGCCATGCCTTAAAACATTTCTTGCCACTGCAAGCCTCGATGGTGCATGGCACTTAAAGCTGAATTTCTACTCCCCAGGGCAGGCAGATTTTTAGAGAGACCGATTCCTGCACACGCATTACACATGCTCTATAGCAGAGACAGTGTCCTGCAGTCTGACAAAAGGTAAACATTGCCATTTCAAGCAAATAGCAATGTTTACATTTGTCAGTCTGAGTGCCTCCGTCTGTGAGCTACTATGGGCAGTTCCCTGTTAAGAGACTTTGAAGAATTGGAAGTCATGTTTAGTGTTGCAGAAAACTGCTCTATGAGAAGCATCCATTTGGCACTTTGGATTAGACACAAGATAAGAGCGGAAGCCCCCCCATCTTTTTATTGGTTGGCAAGAATGTTTAATCTAAAAAGGAAGGAACTACAAATACATGCATTTGTTAAAGAAACACTGTAGGCACAATGTCATCTCACGGCACTGGTTATAGGGCCTGGAGTCCTCTGGTGCAAACCCTCCATCTAGTGTTTTTAAATCATTTTTTGCCCACCATCAAGCCGGCCTTTACAGGGGCAAAGGCACAGATTATATACTTGCCCTCTAACCATACAAATTCCAGCAATGGTGGCTGTGATAGCCTGTGAATCTGTGAGTGTGTGCTTACTGCCTTCAATCTAATGGTTTCCTTATTTGCCAAAGCATCAGAGGGGATGGACTGCTTGGGAAGGTCGCTTAGCATTATAAATAGTGCAACACGGGAGAGGCAGGGGGGAGTTATGACAAACAGTTACCAACCTTAACTAGTGGGAGATCTTGTTTACGACACCGAATCATCACCTTTAGTTCAAGAAGTTGATAAAAACCCTGAGAAAGAACAGATGGTCTTTAACACAAAAAAAAAATAAAAAAATAAAAATAAAATAAAAAAAAAAAAACCAAAAATTTTTTTTCTAAAGTTCAGGGTAGCACATGGTACAAGAGTGGGTAATACCTGTAGAATTAGTCCATCTAACAAGGCTTGGTAACGACCAGCATCCTTCACCACCCGAATAAGCCTCTGCTTAGCCTCACTAAGTAAATCCTGCAAACAGAAAGGGGGACTTTGTGAGTGTTTATACATCTGAAAACATAATGCTCATCTCTGTATACAATTAACACTTATAAATCATGGATAGATTACAACATCCAAAAGTGTCATTAATCAGTAAATGAGTCTTTGATTTTTTATTTTTTATTTTTAAATTCTTTATTTTTGGTCGTGCAAAAGAATACAAGGTAGCCCGCAATGTCACAACAGCAATTGCCGGCATACGTCAAAAACACAATGAAATAGTGAAACATGACAACAGTCGTAGTGAGCAATAGCATTACGTTTCTACTTGAGTAAACAGCACGGTATTTATAATAATGGTTTGGTAGTTAAACTACGCAATTTCAATTGTAGAAATGAAAAATAAAAAATATACAATAGAGGTCAAGTTACATGCTATGCAAGAAGCGGAGAGTCTTTGATTTTGTATGCGGAATCTATTGCAAAAAAAAAAAAGAAACCACACACACACACACACGGCAGTTAAACAAGTTAAAGGAATCCTATACTGCCAGGAAAACAGGTTGGCTCCTGGAGTTCCTCCCTCATGGGGCTGAAGGTGTTAAAACCCCAGTCACTTACCTGAAACCAGCGCCGATGTCCCTCAGTGCTGGGTCAGACTCTGCTTATGCTCCTTCCCTGCTGAGGTCAGCTGTCAGGGAGATCTAATGTGCATGCACGGAAAAAAAAAAAATCTGATGCTGGAGGTCCGCAAGGATATCCAGTGTCAGATAACGGACCAAGAGTCAGTTTGGATTCAGGAAGCCCTCTAGTGGCTGTCTGGTAGACAGCCACTGAGGGCCGACTTCTCTGGAACTGCAATGTTTTACATTGCAGCACTAAGTGCAAAAGGGTCACAGCACCCAGACTACTTCAGCTGTAGCGGATGTGGTGTAAGTGCCTACAGTATTCTTTTTACATTAAAGTGAATACGTTCAAAATACAGGTGTTCAGTTTCTCAATTCTGAGTAGTTTTCCTGCACTGCTGTAAAAGGTTTTGCCGTTTACAGTAGTGTAACCCAGCCTCCTTAGCCACCCCTTCTCACATTTCAACATGTTCCCGATTCCCAGTCTCTGAAAGAAACGTACCTATTGCAGTCAATGAAAACAGAGGCATGTCTTATCTGCGCTGAGATTATTCCTTAACCAATTCAAGTAATAAATTCACCTCCAGTTCCTGTCAACCAACCTCACCACCCACAGTTAACCCCTTACCTTGCCAGGCCTATGAACCTCCCTATATAGATAGAGAGAACACAAAGCGCTATATGTATTTAGGAGTTTGACTCTTTGGATTTATTTACAATAAATATGACATCTAATGTGGTGAGGAAATGTTTGCGTTGCAGTGTCTGAATGCTGAGGACTTAGGAGGAATGGGCATTTACTGAGCTTATTGAAGCTCAGGCACACCCTGTAAGGGATAGAGCAAAGATGGAAATGACAGACGAGCAGAAAATCAGATCAAAATAAAGATTAAAACAGGCACTTCATTTAATTTCTACACGATTTAGGGGGACATTTTTTTTATTTAAACCCACGCATTTAGCGACAGTAGGTTTACGGTTTGAAGTAAGCGGGAAATATGCATTTATTTTTTTAAACCTAGACAGTTCCTTTAAAGGAGTAGGAAGGGGTAGGCCTGAACACAAAAAGCCATTCCTTCCTCCCTCCCAAGAGATATATTCACACCAACATCAAATTTTAGGGACTCTATCCTGGTCTGGGTTGCAAGGCATGTTGCCTTTTGACAGTATACAGCCTTTTATATAGCTATAGCGGAGGATTAAAAGAAACACCTAGGAAAAGCGGTGGTTCAAGTGGGGAAGGGACAAAAGCATGAAAAAAAATAAAAAAAATAAAAAAGTACTTTTTTTAGTCGTAACAGCTTGGGTGTTTAGCATTTTACATGGAAATGTGTGCAATAGGAGCATAGAAAAGGAAGAGAAATAAAGTTATGCGCACATTAACTTTGCTTCTGTTGGTTCATTGGCTGCATACAGATTTAGAATACATAGAACAGGGTAACTTTTTGAAAGCATGCTCTATATTTTAGGTCCATTGGGTGTTACATACATTGATGTTTCACCTTAACTTGCAAGTCACAGAAGAAGTAAATAAAAATTAAAAAGGTTGTATAACTGGCGTTGAGAATGTTTGTCATGAACAAAAAATGTTCCCACACAAAGAACATAAATAAAAAAGAAACTTTGTACAATGGTTAGTAGGTTTCCAGCTAGATGAATGCAGCAGTTTTAAACCAAGGGCAGAACGAATGTCATGGAGGTCACAAAGCATAGGAGGAAAAAACAGGATCTGCTTCTCTGTATCTATAGATTTTTCAGAATGAGCATTGTCCTTTTTTGTGCCTTTATTCAAGATGAGATGTGTCATCTGAACACAGTATTTATTATATAAACATATTGATGGGCTACACACTGGCCTTGTTTAGGTAAACATTGCTTTGTGTAAGTTTATTTGACTCCAGTGAAAATTCCACATAGAACATGCTAATTATGAGGTTGAGGCACCTTTGCAGAGGACATATGCACAATTCATACCACACACAAATATTAAAAAGGGAAGGGAACAGGAATGGGGATTTGGGATTTTTGCAAGTTAATCATAACAGTATACAAATGTACATTTTCATGTTTCAATCAGCAGAATCAAATGTGGTTTTAACAAAAGCATGAAGTAAATTTGCGGTGTGGCCAGTAGTTTCAACTTTCCCAGAATTCCATAAATAAAGTTGAGCAAATTGTAATAGTTTTCGAATGGTTGAACCATTTTCAGGCATCAGCAGGATTGGCCTGCTGGGAGGGTACCTGCAATTACAGTTCTTGGGCAAGTTTCATTATATCTTGTGTCCACATAAGCCACTTTGGTAATTTGGAAACAAATGTGCATGTTATAGTAAGTTGTGAGTTAGTCTGATCTACTGGCTATGGAAGATTTTAGTGTCCGTTTCAGGAAGTGGGAGCTAAAGTTAATTACGCCCATAACCATTTTGACTTTGCAGTACATCCAGTAATTCATGTATACTCACAGAAATCAGGTCATCCCGAGCTTTCAACACCTTTAGTCTTGCTTGGTTCATCAAGTTTGACATTTGACTGTAAGAAAAAAGTTCATTAAATAAGGTTAACTGAGAAAAAAAATGCACTTTTGAATCACTAAAGTGCTTATAGTCATCTGGAAAGAGCTCCAAAGCACAGGACACTTACATTTTCTTTTGCTGCTCAATCTGTTTCTCTTTTTTCTCATAATACTCCATAATTTTCAGTCTCTGTGTCTGGACCAATCGACCCTTCTCAATATTGAACTCTTCTTCTGCCTAGAAAAGGCATAAGATTTTCAAAATTAAGAAACTTACAAAGCTGAATATAACAAGACTATACTGATGTGATATGTAGTGAGAGGTGAGTGATGCTACTGGATGTGGAGTTACACCACTATCAGCAATAGAAGATAGTTATATGCAGTGTTACACATGGAAAATGTGTACATACATATTCCGAGCACCACAACCACTTCAACAAATCACTGAAGCAACCATTGTGCCTGCAGTAGCCAGGTTTGTGAATCATTCAAAAAACAAAAACACATTTGACTGAAATATACATATGGAATGGTGAATTCACAACTTTACCTTAGCATCAATCTCCTCTGCTTTCTCATTAGCCTCCTGCTCAATGAAAGCCATCATGTGCTTGATCTAGAATAGAGGAGGAGGGGGGAGAAATGGATTTAAAAAAAAATAAAAATGAATTGATAGTTTCTACATTTCCCATGACAGACTAAAATGCGGAGACCAACAGAACAAAGATGCCCCAACTATATCTTTGATATTAGCAGGATGCAGCTATAATGAAATAGAATAAAAGAACAAAGACCTACAGAATTCTAAAAGAAGACTGCAGCACACGGAACCCAGTTTGAACAGAATGTGAAAAAAGTAGTAGAAACATTGAGTATTTTTTTCCCTGCTTACCCAACATTCATAATTGCATTGTCTATGAATCACAATTAGCCATTTAGTAAATAAGTCTGACATTTTATTTTTGCACAAATTATTGCAATTTTGTCTGACATAGACAGATAAGACACAAAGCGTTAAGTTGTGAATTTTGTGTGCCACATCTTTAAAAGCAAGATCAAGCTTGTGCAGCATTGTATTTGGTCTATTGATATGTAGATGACGGAGAATATCATTCGGTGCCCAGTCATTCTACAACCTTTAAGATGCTTTTCAAGCTTTGATTACAGGTGGACCACCCTTGAACTATACTATCCTTATTTCTTATACCCCCGTGACCTTTCTAGGAACAGTGGGGTACTATAGGACGTTTGTCCCAAATTACAGTGCCATAAGAATTTGCTTCGCCAGGTAGTATGGGCCCCAAAATGTAAGCAGCAACTTAAAGCAGCCCTCGTGAATGCCCCTATCCTGGCAGCTACCACTCCAACTTAACACTGTTTATGGTTTGGATTGGAAGCAGTGCTGAGCCAGGTCAGGGACAATGACTGAGAACAACCTGTAGCTTAGCAGAGTCAGAAACTGATGAGCTATGTCGCCATCAAGAAAGTGTGATTTGTGGTGGTGTGGGACCTGAAAAAAGGTACAACTTTAGCTCTATGGACAACAGTTTACATTGCCAATGGATCACAACTCGGTAGTGTTGCTAAACAGAGTGACAATGCCAGACTGGGGAACGTCAACTTGAAGTCTAGAAGTAATCTTTGAGTCACATCCAGCCTGAGCACCTCACAAACGTATTACTTTGAACAATGGTCTTACTAGGATAGGGCCACCTGTTCCAGTATTCGGCTTTAAAAGTTAAAAAAAAAAAAAAAAAAAAAGATTTACACCAAAACATAGGACCACTCTCTCCAACAGCATTTCCAATCCTTTTGATAAGTGACCCCATTGAGCATGCAATAACTATTGAAACTCACACCTCTTCCTTGATAACTTTGTAGTATAAGAACTTCAGTCTGAAATCCCAGATTTCTGATCCACATCCAGTTTAGATTTAGAATACAGGTTCTTTAACATTTTGGCCTTCCAATTATTTCCTTAAAGGATCATTATAGTGTCAGGAAAACAAAGCGGTTTTCCTGACACTATAGTGCCCTGAGGGTGCCCCCGGCCGTGGCGCTGAAGGGGTTAAAAGCCTTCAGTTACTTACCTTAATCCAGTGCCAGGCTTCCTCGGCCGACGTCAGCTTACTCTGCCGACGTCAGCTTAACTGAATGCGCATGTGCGGCAAGTGCCGCACACGCATTCAAAGTGTCCATAGGAAAGCATTTTTTTCAAATCTTTCCTATGGACGCTCTGCGTGATGGAGGCATAATATGCCTCCAGCATCGCAGATGGGCCTCTAGTGGCTGTCCGGAAGACAGCCACTAGAGGCTGGCTTAACCCCAAATGTAAACAGTTTTTCTGAAACTGCCATGTTTGCACCTGAAGGGTTAAAGCTAGAGGGACCTGGCACCCAGACCACTTCATTGAGCTGAAGTGGTCTGGGTGACTATAGAGTCCCTTTAAGTCTTTGCATAATCTTAATCCTTTATACATGACCTTTGCTCTGCATAATTTATCGCAGGCCTGCGAGGCACCTTTGTTTTTTTATTGTTTACTGTACTTAGAGGGACACTATAGTCACCAGAACCACAACAGCTTAATGTAGTGGTTCTGGTGTCCGTACCATGCCCCTGCAGGCTTTTCAATGCCAATGCTGCCATTTCAGAGAAAAGGGCAGCAGTCACTCAGACGGCCACTAGAAGAGCTTCCTAGTTCAGCGCTGCATTAAACGCAGCACCTACATTCAGTGCCTGATCACGCCCCATTGAATTAATGCATCCATAGGAGAATGATTGGCGCAGCACTGTGTTTTGCCATGCGTGCACAATAGCATTGGATTTGTTGAGATCATCACGATTGATACCAGCTGCATTCCAACACTACAGTGAAAATTTAAATACAAAATAAAATCTATGCTATTGTATTAGTCAAATAATAACCATAGCAATTAAAAGCTTACTTACTTTTTCCTACATCAATATATTCCGCTAACTGCCTGCCATGGTCAGATTGCTATAATAAGAGCATACAGCAAAATGAACCATCAAGATTATTAATAAATCTGCTATTATAAAAGCAAGCAGAAGCGTAATGAATTCCGGCCAACTGAAGATTGTGTGGCAGATAGAGGTTTCACAGTGTGGACATTATCCCAGAAATATATTTATAAGAATATTTTACCAGATAAGATACATTGAGATTGCTCTCGTTTTCAAGTATGTCCTGGGAGATATATGAAGTGTATCATTTAATGTTTTAAAGCAAGTTATAATAAAATTAAGCAAAAACTGAAAAATATGCTTTTTTGCCATTTGCAAAAGAGAAGCAAAAAAAAAAAAAAAATATTGGATGTTCTGAAAGTCTGATCCTGCTGCAATGTACAAAGTCATCATAAACCAATTTTTTTCCCTGTAAACGAGGAATTGGCCCAATCTTCCTCAAACAACCCACAGTCCAGTCCTGGCTGGGTGTAATCTGGATACCACTCAACACTGGCTTTCAAATCTAGAAATGAGCAGTTTCTACCTAAACCCACTATTTACTGTCAACAAGACCTGCCAGGCAGGGCACGAAGATATAATTAACCATTCAGAGCCCACTCCAGAAACAACATAGTTGGAAAAAGGGCCAGATTCACAAACTTTGCGGTGCCTAGCAAGATTACTTACTAAAGTGTGAACATTGAAGGAAACACACACATACACAGGAAGTTTACAGTATGGGGCTAAAATTGTAAATTCACATTCTTGACAATTCACACTTTCATGAATGATTCTGTGTGTGCACAGTCTAAGTAGTGTATACACAACCTCTCAGCTATGAATGTTATAACAATCTACAGAACAACTCCCTTTTTTCAGGATGCCTCATATTCATGTACAAGGTAATGTGCTATACCTGTATCAACATAGTAGTTTATTTTCTCGGGAGTTTGTGGTAAGGAGGTAGTTACTAAGTTATCGCTGTACCCTCAGACCATATGGCAGAATCTAAAATATTTTGAGTTACATTATAGACTATACATCCATGTGGGAAAAAAAAACCATGGATTCCATAGCTCTGGAAATATTGTCAGACTGTTAGCAAAAAAGCCAGGTTTTGTGGGGGTGTCTGGTTTCAGTTCCTGAATTGCCAGTAGTGAAATCATGTGATCTAGGTCCTTTACAAATTCATGCATAGATCAGATGAGTCTCAGGTCATTGTGAAAGACAGTACACAGACTGTAAAATTAGGGTTATCTATAGAATATACATGAACCTGAAATCTGCCATATCACTTACACAGCCAGGTCACTGTTTATTAACACAATATCCAGCGGAGTGCAGGCAGGGTGTGCTGGCCTGGAGCACCACACAGCCCCCCACCACCACCACCACCACCACAGGGCTTACACTATAAGATCAATATATCGATACACTTATTAAGGAGGATGGGAAGAGGAGGGTGGCAGAACTACAAGATACAGATGTGACTGACAGTAACCCCCCACCACAGCAATGTCCCCATCATTCTACAAGCCCCCTGCCCCCCTGATGTTCCATAGTGTGCCCCATCTCTCCCCCCCCCGGGCAGTGTGCCCCATCTCCCCGGGCGGTGTGCCCCATCTCCCCCCCGGGCAGTGTGCCCCATCTCTCCCCCGGGCAGTGTGTGCCCCATCTCTCCCCCGGGCAGTGTGCCCCATATTGTGAAGCCCGGACTCACCTGTTTCTGCACGTCCGCATCGCTGAGCGCCATGGTGCCGGCTGGTTCGCGGTGCGATGTGGAGAGGCGGCTGGGATCGATCGGAAAAGCTGGAGGCCTCGTACAGGGGGAGCGACAATGACACCCAGCACCGGCTGCTTCCTCTTATACACAGGTCACCTGACTGCGGCCCGGACACGCCCAACTCCGGTCATGTGAGGGTTGCCCTTGGAAACCACAGGGAGCCCCGCCCACCAGTCAGCTGACTCCACCATCAGGGCCAGGTAGCCCCGCCCACCTGACATCAGAAGGTCACCCTGAGAGTTTACATTGACATCTGACCACAATATGTCATCCCTTGTCTGGGGTCAATAAAGATTTTCTACATTCTATTATTATTATTATTATTATTATTGATATTATAAAAAAAAATTAGATAATATCTTTAAGACTTTGCATTAGAGGGGAATGTGAGTCACATTTAATCTCACTCCAATGATAATATCATTTAATCTGTGTAACTTCAGATATAGAACCAACGCCACCCTGCAATAAGAGAAATTAAAAGGCAAAATAGCCTAATTAGCATTGTACAAAAAACTGCCAGAAGATTGGGAAGAACAATCAGCAATATTCACAACTTGTTTGTTTAAAACACTTCTACAATTTGTTTGTTGATTAACTACAAATCCATGTTTAGTTTAGTGAATAAATCCCTTAAACGCATACTTAAACCACCATAACCACTACATTGCTGTTTAGTTGTTATGGTGTTTAGAGTATCACTTTAAAGCAGTTCTGTCCCCTAAACTTACCTTTCTTGTGTCGATTCCTCATCTCTTCCACTCTCTGAATCTGTTCTTTTATTTCTTCTGGAGAAGTGTCTAATTTGTATTACGTATTTTTCCTACATTTGCCATTTCTTGACAAAAGGCTCTACTTTCTTTGTCGATTCCCATTTTCCCACAACACTCATCTGCCCATTGCATCCTTCTTCACGATTCTTGCAATGCTCCATAGTCCTTCTCCAAGCGTGCCATGCGTGGTTGCAAAGGTAACTGTTTTCAGCATCTGCAGACAGCATTCACATTTTATGGGCAAACATAGGTAGTGACTATATGTAATTGCCATGCTTCGGAACTTGGCTGCGCAATGGAATCCATTGCCACCATCAACTGTAAAAAAAAAAGTAAGTTTTAAAGGCAAGAATGGAACAAAAAAACCAAAAAAACATATTCCGGGAACATTTAGAACACAGTCAGAGTGGACCCTATAAAACAATGCAGGTCACAGACCCTTCTTTTGTCTTTTCATATCAATGCAAGTCCTGCTTTCATACCTCATTGGGTTGCATGATAAAGATGCTGTCTGATATAACCATATTACATTGTGAATGGAGCCTATGGAAACATGTCAAAAATCTGAAAACAATATTCAGGGTTATTTACTAAAACGAGAATTCAAAGTGAATTTCAAATTTAAAGGGACACTATAGGCACCCAGACTACTTTATGCCATTAAAGTTGTCTGGGTGCAGTGTCCTTGTCACCATTAGACCTGCAATGTAAAACATTTCAGTTTTAGAGAGTACTCTACCAGGTAGCCACTAGAGGCCCTGGATTCTAATGAAGTTTGACTCCGTGAAATAACGCTGGACATCCTCATGCTTTGCATGAGGACGTCTTGCATAAGATAAACTCCCATCGGAAAACACTGAAACAATACTTCCTATGGGGACGGCCTAATGTGCGTGCCGCACTCAACGCTCATGCAAATTAGGCCCCCCCTTCTGATGACAGTGGAGGAAGTAGCACGCAACCCAGCGCTGAGGGACCTCGGCGCTGGAATCAGATAATTTAATAAAGAGTTATTTAACCATTTGCAACTAGCGGGACCTAGGGGAGGGTGACACAGGGGCTGAGGAATAAATTAGTGTTAAGTATACATCTTTGTATTCCCAACACTAATGTGTTCCTCTAAGGCAAGAGTAGACAAACTGCTCTGGCATTAAATTCACAGTGTTTGCAGATTGTCAGTAAACCCTTCACCTTTTGTCCTAAGACCTATGTTTGAAGATTTGTTGACACTTTGGCTATATACCTGATTAACACCACCAGATCACTCATTCCCTGTATTGTAGGTGCACAGACACTTCCCACACCTCTGATGTGGGAACTGACAATCAAACAGATTAGTATATTTTTAAGTGTTATCCTCATTTAGTTTTAAAATTCAAGCTTCCTAAATTGTGTTTGCATTGATTAAGCATAACACACCTGACTATTGGATGACACTTTTTACTGCCTAAAAAGGAAAAAGAAAAGCTCTCCTCCTTCCTTGTTTCCATCATAGTATCCCCAAATCCCAAAATAAACAAATAAACACATCCCTCCCTCAACTTTGTTTGTTTTTGTTGTCATGCCTTTTTTCATATCAATGTGGACTTCATACCTACAAATCTAATTGTACTGACCTCTCTGTAATTTCTCTGGGATGGGAAAAATATGTGTTATCACATATTCTTGTGTCACTAAATCTTTTGTCCAAATATATATATATATATTTGGATAAAAGATTTAGTGACACAAGAATATGTGATAACACATATATACATATACATATATATACACACACACATATATATATATATATTTGGTCGGGGATAAAGGCCAAGATTTAATTGAAGAAATCAGTTGTAGTGTGCCAAAACCGATGGTCAGGTAGACCTGTAAGTAAAAAGGGCCCACCAATATAATAATTAGTAAAATAATAAAAGCAAGAGGTGGGTGGGGCTATTGGAGCAGCCGCAACCCAGAGGAGGAAGCAGTCTGAAGTTAAATACCTGGATAACCCCTCCCACAATTCCAGGATTCCACCTTAATATTTGTGGTCAGGGATAAAGGCTGAGATTTAAGTGAACAAGTTTGTTGTGGCCTGACAAAACCAACGGCTGGGTAGACCTGTAGATAAAGAGGGCAAAAATATTTAAGGATGCAAAACTGTATTACAAAATTACAAAATGATTACCAAATCTTGAAATGATTGTCTTAGCTCCTTCTCAGGCTGAGGGATATGCAATTCCAATGGCCTAATCTCTTACAGGGACACTGTAGTCAACAGAACTATTACAGCTTAATGTAGTGGTTCTGGTGTCTATAGCATGTCCCTGCAGCCTTAGCATTGTAAACAGTGTCTTTTCAGAAAAGCTGGCTAGTTACACCTCTATGTGTAGTCCCTCAGACGGCATCTAAAGGTGCTTCCTGTGTCAGTGCTATACAGTGTGATTCAATGCAACTCTATGAGGAGAGGATCTCAGTCATGGAGGCGGGGCCAACCACGGGAGAAAAGGTGAGTAAACTGCTTTGTTGTAGGATTTTCTAGTTTTGGCAGATAGTGCTGCTTGTGCTGTAGAAAACATGTGTGTCAGTGGTAACCTGCATAAGTTGGGCTAGTCCATTAACAGATCCTAGAAGACTGGGGCCTTGGTGGACTGTCTCTCTGCTGTACACCTGTAATTTAGAACAGGATAAAGCATCAGCCGCAGTGTTATGGCAACCTGGGACATGCAAACAAACCAGCTAGAATTGATGAGTAACGTCTAACCAGGTCAACTTTCTGATTAGTCACATAACAGTTAAAGATGAGGAACATTGATAATCCCACAAGCTGCACAATGAACAGGAATTCGGGGTCGAACGCCCAGCACTTAAGCCTCGCCCTGTGAACTAAAGTCCCACCTCCTGCATGCAAGCCCCGTACACACATACAAGTTGCTGTGTGTGTGTGCCTGGCAGCGAGTGAGCTTGTATGTATGTGCGTGCGTCAATGAGCTTGTCTGCAGGAAGCATGTGTGTGTCAGTGTGCTTGTGTGTAGTGAGCATGTGTGTGTCAGTGTGCTTGTCTGTAGTGAGCATGTGTGTGTCAGTGAGTTTGTCTGTAGGAAGCACATGTGCATCAGTGAGCTTGTCTTTAGGAAGCACATGTGTGTCAGTGAGCTTGTCTGTAGGAAACGTGTGTATCAGTGAGTTTGTCTGTAGGAAGCAAGTGTGTGTGTGTCAGTGTTTTTGTCTGTAGTGAGCATGTGTGTGTGTCAGTGAGCTTGTCTGTAGTGAGCATGTGTGTGTGTGTCAGTGTGTTTGGCTGTAGGAAGCATGTGTGTGTATCAGTGTGCTTGTGTGTAGTGAGCATGTGTGCATCGGTGAGCTTTTTTGTAGTGAGCATACGTGTGTCAGTGAGCTTGTCTGTGGTGAACACCTGTGTGTCAGTGAGCTTGTCTGTAGTGAGCATGTGTGAGTCAGTGTGCTTGTGTGTAGTGAGCATGTGTGAGTCAGTGAGCGTGTGTGTCAGTGAGCTTGTCTGTAGAAAAAACATGTGTGTGTGTCAGTGAGTTTGTCTGTAGGGAGCATGTGTGCATCAGTGAGCTTGTCTGCAGTGAGCATGTGTGCATCACTGAACTTTTCTGTAGTGAGCTTGTGTGTGTGTGTCACTGAATTTGTTTGTAGGAAACGTGTGCATCAGTGAGTTTGTCCGTAGGGAGCATGTGTGCATCAGTGAGCTTGTTAGTAGGGAGCATGTGTGCGTCAGTGAGCTTGTCTGTAGTGAGCATGTGTGTGTCAGTGAGTTTGTCTGTAGTGAGCGTGTTGGTCAGTGAGCTTGTCTGTAGGAATCGTGTGGGTCTGGGAGTTTGTCTTTAGGGAGCATGTGTGCATCAGTGAGCTTGTCTGTAGTGAGCATGTGTGCGTCAGTGAGCTTGTCTGTATTGAGCATGTGTGCACCATTGAACTTGTCTGTAGTGAGCTTGTGTACATCAGTGAGCTTGTCTGTATTTAGCACATGTGTATCAGTGAGCTTTTCTGTAAGGAGCATGTGTGTGTGTGTGTGTGTGTGTGTGTGTGTCAGTGAGCTTATCTGTGGTGAGTTTGTGTGTGTCAGTGAACTTGTCTGTAGTGAGCATGTGTGTGTGTGCGTCAGTGAGCTTGGCTGTAGTGAGCATGTGTGTGCGTCAGTGAACTTTTCTGTAGGGAGCATGTGTGTGTCAGTGAGCATATGTGTGTGCTTCTCTGTAGTGAGCATGTGTGTGTGACAGTGAGTTTGTCTGTAGGAAGCATGTGTGTATCAGTGAGTTTGACTTTAGGAAGCACGTGTGCATCAGTGAGCTTCCCCATGTTGGTGAGGCGTTGATGGAGCCGGTGTCGAGCGGTTTAGATGCTTGTGGCTCGGAGCTCTGAGGAATCGGAATGAAGCATATTAAATACATGAATTCATATATATTATACGAATGATGGATGCGAATGAATTGATACAAATTATGTATGTGAGAAACCTACAAAATAAAATAGTGTTCGTATAATCAAAATACTTACAGGTTGTAGAGTAAATCTTATGCAGGGGCTACCTTCGTTTTCTAATACTCATGAAATTACACGAAAGTAATTTGGATAGCTGTGTACGTGCTGAGACAGCTGGAGGATGGAAATGAAATCAGAGGTCTTTGCAAACCGGAAGAAGAACAGAGAACTTCCGAAAATCGGCAACAGATAAGTTGGGGTCACCTGGGCTTATATCGGCCGAAAACCCCTCCCACAATTTCAGGCTTACGCCTTCATATATATATATATATATATATATATATTTGTGCGGTCTGAAAAATAAAATTAAATATGGAAATCCTTGATCCTTGATCACTCTATCCTTGATTTGACAGCTTTTAGAGTGTTTCTTTAACACAAATTTTAGGTGATTGTTAAAGTTTTATTAAATAGTGTAATTTCCTTTTTAAAACTTCAAAACAGATTGCAAAGATACTGAGAGCAACAATAGCTTGCCCTTCAGGGAGATTCACTCGGTCCTCAAGCTAGTTTCCAGCTCTTCTTGTAGAGAACCAAACCACTTGGATATAAGACTGATCGCACCCTAAATAGCAGTCCAGATCCGAAATGCTGGTTGATAGACATGTGCAATTGGTTTCGGTCCGAATATGAATTTGGATGAATTTCGGGAAATTCGGACATTCGGGTACTTCCGAATGTCCGAATAGCCGAAGTGCTGAATTGCCTTGCCCCGCCCTGCAATTAGGCTCAGAGCACTCTGATTGGTGGGTTTAAGCCATCCAATCAGAGTGCTCTGACAGGTAAATGAAGAGACTGACAGGTAAGTCTCTACATTTACCTGTCACAGCACTCTGATTGGTTGGCTTGAAATCCACCAATGAGCGGTGGGTGGGGCCAGGGGGGAGGACATTAGGTGTCCCCCCCTCATTCTAATTTAGGGCCCCCACCCACCGCTCAGGGGTTGGGGCCAGGGGGAGGACATTAGGTCCCCCCCTAATTAGTATTTAGGGCCCCAATTCTAATTTAGGGCCCCCACCCATCGCTCAGGGGTGGGGGCCATGGGGGAGGACATTAGGTCCCCCCCCTAATTAGTATTTAGGGCCTCCACCCACCACTCAGGGGTGGGGGCCAGGGGGGAGGACATTAGGTCCCCCCCTCATTCTATTTTAGGGCCCCCACCCACCGCTCAGGTACTTGCCGAAGTACCGAAGTTGCCGAAGTGTCCCATGCACATGCCTACTGGTTGATTCTCTCTGCTCGAGAGTTTGTACTTGCGGTTGTTGGCAACCAGACATCTACATACACATTTGATGGACCTGTTTCGGAGTACATTTCTTAAACACAACCCCTCTATGGCATTACTTAACAACCCATGTTCAATTAATAATGTGGTTCCTTACAGTAGGCTGGATTGCCAGATCTCTTCTTTATAGAAGAAAAAATTGCCTCAATTCAAAGTAGACATATGACCGGGAAATTCAGAAGGAAATAAGGATGACCACTGATGCACTTCATGTCTAATTGGCACTTTTTCCAGCCCTTATTATGTAGTTTATCCTTACAGGAGGCTGACCGCTCCTTCCTTTAAATTAGTACATCAAATTTGTATGGCTACTAAGGTTTGTATGGCAATGGCCTGAAAGTTACCATCTCAGGTGATGCACCACAACATCAGTAATAGCTGAAAGCTGCACTCCATGATAATCTGGAAGCCTGTTGGATGATATGGCAAAAATGATGTTGCTAAAACACCAGAAATTTCCATTAACTAATGTACAGATCCTTAGAGCCTTGATATCTTTGTCACATTCATAAAGTTGTTTGACTTATGAAGAAAAAAAGAAAGAAAAACTTGTGTTTTCAATTCCTATGGCACAAAAAAAAAAAAAAAAAAAAATAGGAAATTGGCTGTATAGGTTCAATTTACGTGGTGTATTTCACACTGTCCAGCAGAGGTCTCCTGAGTGAACATCAATTCTATTATATAACAAGTCTATTGTTAATAGACATGGAGTCTATTCGCTGTGCTCAAATTTTATTAGGAAATGTGATCCCCCTCATTCTGCTTAATTCATTTTAAAAATATTCTTTATTTACACTTAACTCACTGGTGTGAGAAAACAATATCATACGGTACATATACTTGCGTGAAAAAGGCACAGAATGCACGAGTAGACATCAAGAAACATTATACAGCAGAAATGTATCCTGTGACCCGAGGGTTTAGTATATATATATATATACACATATAACTGACTATGTTCGCT